AAGGTTAGCATGCTGGATATGTTTAAAGAGATGGATGGAACTCCGGCTGCAGACACTCTTTTTAATCACATAAAACCCTACACAATTAGATTTAGGTATATAAAGACTGTTAACCATTCAAATAAAATGCCTGTAATGTGAAAGTTATGCCACTTAGCACAGCTGTTTCCCTACTGCTTTTTCATCTCTGGATTTAAGAGTACTATTTAATTTTTTCTGAGGCTGAATAACCTCCAGTGTACTTTTTCCACCAAGGGCAGTACAGACCACAGGCCATCCCATCTCAATTTTCTAACCAACCCAAATAGAGTTTTACATTGATTTGAATACCGTCCTCTCAGACCATCTTTCAATAGCATCTCCAATTATGAACTAAAAGTCAACAATTAAACTAACTTATAATAGCARAACTCTTGTTTTGCCTTTTTCTCATTTTCTGGGGGGTGGTGGTAGTATACTTTTCCAGATATTATAGAAGTCTTCTTCAGGAGAGCAACAGACAGGAAGAAGTTTATCTGGTAAGAAAAGCTGTTTTGCCTAAGCATAGTTCCCACAGCACGGCTACCAAGCCCAGCTACAAGTATCCTAACTTTTTCATAAGACACTGGGATAACAGGGCATCCTTCAGACAAGTGAGAAAAGTAGTATTTCTAGAAAGGAAACACAAGAAAGTACGGTTCAGGTCTGACTAATACAGGCAACAGTTCCTGAGCTAAAGAACTAACCCTAAAAAGAAAGAACAAGAGCATTAGACAGGGAGTTTTCACCTTCTCCTGGAGCCAGCCTGTTCCACAATTGAGCTTTGAGGCAGAACATTTAGTTCAGCTCCGCTTCTGTTGGCTATTCCACATACGCACAGCAGAGATGAGGCTCAAGGGCAAGTGTTTAGACCCAAGCCTGCTCACAGTATATCAAAGGGAGGTTSAGGATCTTCGTAATTAGCTCTCCTTTTATTTTAAGCCTTTTCTTCTTTGATTCACAATCAAGGCATCAGATGAGGTGGTTGGGAAAAAAAATGCCTTAGTCAAACACACCACTTTTCCCTGGATTCAAGACAGATTCAATGCAAATCATTTTCTCAAGATTGCTTTCTTTAAATGGGGCAGATGGCAACCAGAGGAATCCACTTTGATCTATACTGGAGGTCTACAAGAGGAAGCAGCTTCAAGTACCCTTATTGTCTAAATATGTTTTTACTGAGAKGGAACAATAAACATTCAATAGGGCAAGGAGACACACTGGCTTTCCAGAGCACTGATCACGGAATCCATCTAGGATGTGAGAGCGTRGCAAGAACAGGTCTTGACACCAAGTCTCCCCATATCCCTATTACATGTCTTAATTGTGTACCAGGGGCAAGATTGTTTTCACCCTGATGCAGAATGGGAATATTTTTAAATCATGAGAACATYGAATGTGATAGGCTGTTTTCTGTCCAGCACTAGTGGTAACAGCTCTCTGCAGTAGTATGGTTTCATAACACATGAGAAGCTGAGGAACCTTCTAAGGGGCAGATGCACAGAATGCTTTTGGTCCAACTTAAATTCAGTTATCATTTCATCCCCAAATATTTCTGATCAAGCAGTGAGAACACACACAAAAGATGACAGCTAACAGAGATAGATAATATATTACATGACAAGAATATGAAGAATAATTTTACCTACCGTGTGGGGAGTATATTCTTAAATTAATAGGAACTGAAGAAATGCCTTTGTTCATTCCTGTTACTCTATCTGTTTCAACTTCAATTTCCTGACGAACTTCATCAAAATCAGTAAATTTCCTCCCTTTGCAGTGTAGAAATTCGGCATACTCTGTGAAAAAATACCAATAGCATCTCKGTATCTCAAAGGCTCATAGTCTAGGGCTTGTTTGAGAACCTACTATTCTTCASATGTATAAGCACAGATAGCAGGAAAGCGTTCCATAAGAACACATGCTGTAGATGGAATTGCAATGATGAAAACCAGCCTATTACAAGATAGGATTTTGTTTAAAAAAAGGCAAGTTGACTCGATGAGATTTATTGCTTTTATCTTCTGCCTRTCATCTGCTAGAACAATCTAGAAGGTTCAAATAAATACTATTAAGATTAATAGAAGAGAAACAGATTGTGAATCATTCTCAGTTTTCACCTGATTACATTTGCCTGTCATGCATCAATAAATTGARGTATTTTGAGTTCTATGGCATGATAGAATATTAGCATTATTTTAATAATTAACAACCCACATTATACAAGATTTTAAAACTGTACCAAACTCCTCTGTTAAGTTCACAATCAAAACGAAAACATTGTGAAGTAATCAATAAAATACTCAACTCAATCTCCTAGAGACTTCTTGAAGCCTATATCCAAACCATGCTTTATATGATAAATTCAAATCATGCTTTAGATTTTTTAAATAGGATTGTATAAATACTACTGCAATTTTGTCAAAGTAGAAGAAAACACTGAATTATCATTTKTTTGCCCTCATACCTTCAGAGGGCAGCAGGCAGGAATTTTCCTCCCACTTTCATCGGGGATAACAGTCCAGTGTCCTTGATTTCAGTATGACACCAAGTCCCTGTTTTGACTCTTGAATACAAATACTCACACGGATTATTTATATCCTTCTGGATCTTCTGCCCATAAAAATATTACATAACCAAAAGCACATCTCAGTCTTTTAAAAATGTACTTTCTCCTTTCAGAACAGGGAAAAACTTCAGTCTCCTAGTAAGGGTATAACCAGCTTAGGATATAAACATCTGTCAGATAAGAGCTCACATCTATCCCACAAATGCTCCCCATCAGGCTCTAAGTAGTATTACTAGCAAAAGACAGGGAACCCATCCATGTTAAGGGAAAAAATATATATATTTATATATATCTATATAATATATATCTATATCTATCTCTCTCTATATATATATAAATGAAGTGAGAAACAAAAGAGAATTTGAAAACCTCTGTCCTGCCTTTGGATAATTAAGAACTTCCACATATCTTACATCTTTTCTCAGAGCTAGTAAATAAATGATGCTGAGTGTGTGAGGAATGTACGTTTAAAATATTAAGCTGCTTCTAAGAAAAAAAGTAATACTCAAATATTCCAAAGTGCCAGATAACACAGTGCACAAAAGTAATAACAATAATGAAAAAATCTTGTTCAATCTAACATATTTGGGAATTCACACTTGTAAAATTTATTATATCCGATTTAGAATACAGCTGCCTACTAAGAAAAGCAGACAAGTTGCTCTTATTTTGATCAAGCTCTTCATGCACTACTCATCATAAAATAAAATGTATTCTTCTCAGGATTCATTCAGTTTTGATTCAATAGTTCATTAGATTTTGTTAGAAAAATACTTCAAAATTCAGACAATTAGCACTTGGTGTCCGCTTATTTACTCCATGATCCGACTCACTCAGCTGATGCTCAGAGAAGCTTCTCTGTTGCACTTGACACTTGGTGACAGTAAGAGTCCCTAGCTGAAGTGGCTATAAGTCAAATCAAATGGGGAAAAAAAGAGAAAAAAAAAAGTAGATCAAATGAAAAAATAGTTTATCACTTTTTGGCTATGCTAATAATTATCACTAGCTCAATTTCTCTCAGCAGCATTTGTAGTCCTGCTAATTTTGAAGGAATAGGCTTTGCTGTTGTTCATACCCTATGGCATATAAGAGATGCATGCACAGCCTGCAGAATGAAAATTCAAATGAACAAACAGCACTTTGTTATGTTCCTTTCAGTCCTTTGCCTGCCCTTGGCAGTGATCCTCCAGTCAGGCTGGATAAGCACATACTTTAATGCAATCTTTTTTTATTCCCTTTTTTTTTTTTTTTTTTTTTGAGGGGGGAGGGACATACTTTTATGCAGAGGAAAATACTAGGAAAATATATAATATTATATTATTTTTACATTTTTGTGAGAGCAGATGTGAAGCCATACAAAAAGAGGGATTGTCTAATGCTGATTTTAAGACATACATTTTCTACATAAAACTGAAGTTATGTCAACAGAAAGAATCATTTCAGGAAAAAAAAAAAAATAAAATGATTTATTCCAACCTCAGCCAGTCTGTGATTCTATGATTTTTTTCTGCCAAAAGATCCAAAATCCTTTTACAGAACCATTCAAACACTTTGGATAATATGGAATGAAAAGGCTAGCATATTACAATTTTAKTCGGTGCATTTTCAACCACAAACATCATGGTAAGTGATTATTTCTCTTCTCAATTTTGATCAATTTGTCAAATCGCACAAGTCTAATAATCTTTCTCAAAGTACTTGTGCCACATGAGATATTTCTCCTTATCTCTTATGATTTAATCTAGCACCATGATATACTCTTATTGCCAATAAATTATTGATATTTTCWAAATACTGTTAATTGTAAGTAGATGGGTAATCTTTCATAAATCTATCTCTAAGCTAAAGAACACTGTTAGATATGCCTTGTGATAACAGTAGGAGCAGTTTCTACTCGACAAATAGAAGCCTTCAATTCATCCGGGCTACTATTCATCCCTTATCTTTCAGATCGTTAATTACAACTACTTACAGTTTTTGTTGTTGTTGTTTTCCCCTCAGAAGACCAATTGTCTGTCGCTTCTCTTCATTATCTCTTTAAGATGGACAAACATAGAGCCATCCTCTGGGCAGTGATTCTCCAAGATATTTGGAGAATCTGTTTATTACCTGAACTGTGAGTGGCTGCATTAGTTTTTCTTTTCCTCTTAGGGTATTTTGTTTCTTTGTTTTGCCAGCAGATGACAATAAAAAGATGGGTGTGGATTAGGAGTGATCTCACAGCAAGAGATATTGTACTGAAGCAACAGTAACAAAAAAGAGCATCTGCGAGATTTGCAAAAATTTCACAATGTTTTCTGAACCCAATGGTGATTTACTTTCCCCTTAATTATTGTTGTGATTAACAGAACTGAAGCAAACATGGRTATTGTACATATGGATCATTAGTCTAAAACGACCAGCCTGAAAATGGTTTTTAAAAATCTATTACCCATCATTTCTTAACACAGAGATTTAAGAACTAGTCTTAAGGCAAATTTGAAATTCTTCAAAAAACAACTTTCAAAAGGGAGAAATTACCCTTTTAAAGACAAGATATGTTAACATTGAAGGAAACAATAATTAATATAGTACCAAAGGCTTTTATAACATACAACAGACCTACAGCGGTAACTTCCCCCCAAAACCATTTTTGTTGCCACTGCTTTTTAAAAACTATACTGCCAGACTCAAGATATSTGGATAATTATTTCCATTTCACAGGCAGGAAAAAGCACAGTAAAAGGAAAAAGAGGCTGCCTAACATTAAACTTCTAGGAGTACAACTACAGGGGTATGGAATGCATAACTCCACCTGAAGAGGAATTATGAGTAAGGAAGTACAGACCAGCACTTTACACTCCTTGGTAACTGCTGAAATAAGGACAGTTTAGCATTTAAAGTAAATGTTGTCCAGATAGGAGTGAAGTCCCTGTACATTACACTAGAGCAGTCAATTACTGAGAACACTGGCATTCCTTTTGTTTGATTTGGAAATCAGATTTTCACAAAAYGAACTGCTCACACATCCAACTTATCACCCAAGAAAACAGCAGATGGAATTCCTCCAAGGACATAAATTGGGTAAATAATAATCACAGCTGTCTTGCCTGCTTTCTAAAGCCTGAAGTTCCCCATCAGACAGTCTGCCAGCTAAGACAGTGCCTTCAAAAACACACTGAATTGTGCCTTCCAGATAGGACTATTTTCTTGTAAACCATTATGTACTCTGAGCTTCTTCAGACACCAGCAACAATGAAGGACCCAGGTACTAAAATTCCCAACACCAGAGAACTGCCGGAGGCCAAATGCAGGGACTACGGAGGAGAACATCAAACTGCTTCTATATTCTTCACCATATTTGATGTTGGACTCCATATTTAATTCTGATCTTTTTAGGGAAAGCAAAGCTGCATTTTAGGGTTACTTATCACAGAATAAAAACCTTATGCTTATTTGGTGCAGTTGTCTCTTTCAGTGAGACATCACATAGGACTTCTTTCTTCAGTGAAAGAGAAGCAAATGCATTGAAAATATGAACTGAAGACCAAGCATGAAAAACTGCGACCCTTCCTACAGGACTCCCAACGAAATGCCCTGTAATGCATCTCAGTATCAGAAAAAAACATTTTGGAGCCTCAAAATATTTACAAGACAATTTTCTTCCTTCTCTAGATGGAACGGTAAGACATTTGAATGTAGGCCACATTTACAATATCATTTGAAATTCAGCTGGGCCGTCCCCAAAAGACAGCTCTCAAAATAGGATAGTCAAGATACAAGTTAGAGTCTTTCAAAAAATAAACAAACCAACAAAAAAAATGCACAATTCTTTAACTGCCAGGTTTTCACTTACTCTGGGCTACCAGATATTCTTGACATTAACAAACTGAGAGGAAAACAATCACAAGTACGGAACACTGTCTTATCAATTGCAAAATTTAATTAAAATTTTTGTCTTTGCCTCTGATATTTCAAGGTTCAGTATTTGAAGTATTTGCATGGATATGAAAGCACAAAACACAAAGCAGCTGTAGGAGCTGTTCCCGTAAAACGCACACAAAAAAAGTTACAGTGATTAAATGTGGTCAAAAGGTCACTACCACATGGCTAATTGTACAGAATTCTTTAAAAAGGAGGAAGTACACAGAATTATTAAAATATTCCACTTTCCACAGAAGATACATTTCTTAGCATTGAATTGTTTCATGGTACTACTTGTATATTCTCATTTCAAAGCACAGAAAGATTCCAATTCTTTCCCCAGACATGTCAGATCCTTCCAGATGTTGAGATGAAGATTATCCAAATGATAACCTTCTTCTTACCTAGGAATGCAGAAATGCCTTAGCTGAACAACCTGTAGCCCTCAGTACCACGACTCACAGTTAAAGGAAGACTWAGCTTCCCTCATCAGTCAAATGGACATTCCAAAAAGATCTTCAACTGTTACAAAATATTACTAAAAGTATCYCGTAATCAACCAATCAAGCCTATATGCTTATATTTACACTGTATATAAAGCATCCCCTTTCTCCTCCATGTATACTGCAAGATAAAAAATAGTCATTCTTTAAACAGCCAAGAGTGAGCCTAGGATTACAACTCTGTTAACCTTGCTGTAGTACTAGGTACCTGACACACTCCTCTAATTACATTTTCTAACATTTCAGATAATTATGAACTTGATAAAAATCAGTTCAGCATTTGCTTCCTGTAGAACACTATGTTTCTTTAAACAGTTGACCTCTATTTTCTTAAGACTTTATTATTATTAGTTTAAAAGATAAAGTTGGCTCAAAAGATAAAGGAATTTCACCACCCAGAAGGGAAAAAGAAACAAAGATTAAAGAAAGCAACAAAATAATGGAAGTCTGCATTTTCTAAGGGTCTGCCATCTAATTCCAAACAAGCAATATCCAGCATTTCCCAAAGGCAAGGCATGTCATGACATCTAGCAAATAAGAAACTAGCTTCAGGTTCACCTCTCTAGAATTTTTGTGTGTGTTTTTTAAAGTTATAATGAAAAATTACTCTTAGAAGAGAAAGCACTCCATAAGAAAACCTAGAAGATCTGCCAGATAGTTTGTGAAATAGTGTTAATATAGTAAAATAAGACAGAGAAGGTACTTGAGGCAATGGACAACAACAGTTCTAAAAATAAAGCAATAAACATCATCCAGAAGCAAGTTTAGGATGTCTAGGGAAAAACAGTTACTCAGACAATACTGTATATGTTTACTCACTAATCCACATGTCCTTGCAGTTTARTCATTATTAAGAATGCCAACATAGAACTTGTTTTGTTTCTTTCTCCTACATGTTGCTGGGAAAGTTAGATGGAGATTCTTCATAGCTAGGATTTATTCATGCATTTCTGCAAGCTCTGCCAGAAAACTGAAGCCAGAGGCGCCGAAATGACAACCATTTCCATCTCCAGCTACAGTAAATATGGTCTTTCAATATATACAACACACTCCAAACTGCTAAGCTGAGCACACAGACCTATGAATTCCATGTGTTTTCCTTTTCTGCAACACTATGAATGTGCTTTACAAGAAAAAAAAAAAGGAAAAAAATGTGCATTATGGAGCTCACACATCACTGAATGCAGAAGATGCAAATACTGAAATCTACCTTCCCCCTAAACAATGAGTTTTTTTCAAGAAAAGAACATACACAAAAAAATTATCAACACTTGCACATCAAGCCAGATTAATGTTCCATAAGCAGATTCAATTTAGTTTCCTCCCCAGTTTTTGACCTCTTCATATAYAAATAGAATTTCTCTTATGTCTTTACGTGTTCTGCATGTAATTTCTCTCTGAATCCTTTTTTTTTTTAAATGCGATTTTGTTGTCCACACTGGTTATGTAGTAATTAAAACAGTAAAACAAACGAACAAAAAAAGATCAAGAGAATATTTGGAAACAATAGATGTCTTTAAATATTTCAAGGGATTGAACTACACAACAGCAGATAATTGACACTTGTAATTATGAAGCAGGTCTCAATGCCTCAAGTATCCCAGTGATATCTACTTGCTGTAACTTTTATTTTTGACCGGGCAYTTCTCAAAGCTGCATTCTCCCCAAGTCTACCTTCTGCTCTACTTAGTGCAATGAGCCCAACCAAAAAAGACAAGTCACGAAAACAAGCTGCATGGAGCCAACCCGCGTGCACTGGAGCAAAAAGTGGGAAGTAAAAATATAGCAGTTTTGGTATGTTAACTAACGCAACACTAATGCATCAAGAAAACATGAAAATAATCTTCCAGAATAGCTTGGACATAATAATGYTTCTCCTCTACTTCAAGTCTGACCTTGAATTAATTTTTTTGTGTGCTCTAGGATTTAGATTTYGTGTTTTCCTAGATAAGGCTAACTGGTGTGAAGCATACAGCTGWGACACACTGGGCCTTTGTTCCAGGCTCACTGGTTACACTCTTCTTTACACTGATGAAGTTTCTTAGATTCCCCCCCCCCACTGAATGATATCAGGACTTTGTCCAGGAATTGAACTAAAAAGAAAGGGAGGTTACCTGTTTTGGCTGTGATAAGTTGCAAGACCAATGGTCGTCTTGTTACAATTCCAGATCCCCGGGGAAGAAAATCCCTAAAAAAACAAAGAAATTATAAACAACTACAACCAAAATACACAGAGCAGTTACAAAAAATACCAGAGTAATTTGGAAGCTCCACTGTTTCTCCAGGTGCAATGGAATCAGGAAGTTGGCAGGATGGATTTACATCAAACACTTATATAAAATGGTATTAATATTAATTTGAGATAGCAATAGGTCATTACACAAATACACAGTAAAATTTAATTAGCTTGGAATTTTACCAATTCCCTTTTTCCATGACTGTCAAAAATAATATCTCACCTGCTGTGATGTTTTACAATGCTTGAGACTAAGAGAATAGAAGAAACGTAAGAGAATACAAGAAGTAGCTTAAAGGGGCACCAGAGGTTTTCAAAATACCTATCACAATTTCAATACCTACCAATTGAGAGACACCTCTGTCTCGAGGAAGTGTCATCTACTAATACTTCTTGCTGGGAAGAAGATTCTAACAAAAGTGTATCAAGYTTTCTGTATGCACTGAAATGACAGAAGGCTGGTATGCAGAAAATGTCTAGCAAGATGGAGGTTTCATTTTTTGATTCTCAAGCATTTTGCATGCCATATCTGATCTAAAAGCAAACAAATATTTTCTTTCATTATGAAGCTAAAGAAAATTGCCATTGAGGACAAACTGATAATACAAAAACTAGGATCCTCTGCAACAACATGGGAGACAGGAGGGGAAAAAAAAATCCTCAGGGAGTCCAAGGCCAAGAAGTCTATTAGCAATTTTCTGCTTCAAACTAAGCACATCCAGRGATAAAGAATATCGTATTAATGCAGCTCCCAGTTGTACAATACTGGCCTCCCTCAACAGCAAAATTACAGAGAAATTTAAGGCAACAGCCTTTCAAACAAAACATTCTCCTACCACTCACAGGGTAGACGGCATCTAACAAACCATTCAAAAAGGATGAGCTGCTGCCAAAAAGCCCATCATAATTCACACGGGCACCAACAGCGAGCTGCGCAGAGTCACTGAGCAGAGGGAGGTTCACGCTTGCTGAGAAGGCCAGCTATGTTGATCATGTAGCCAGCGGGTGACACTTAAAGGAGGCTTCTGCTTCAAATGTCTGWTTTGAAGAGGGAAAACGGACAAAGAATGGGGAGGAAACAAGGTTTATTGTAAGCATTCAGGGAAAAAAAAAAAGCCTGGGATATCTGCAACCAAACAGCAGTATCRAAGGAGCCTAGGGATCCAAACTGCAGTGCTACAAAGATGTAGGGCAAGGTATTCATAGAAGATATTTGGCAGATGCTCACAAAAATATGAATATATATTTTAACCTGTATGAAAAAATCTATATTTGATTTAGATTAACAAATCTGCTCCCATGGGAACAGGGAGATTTTTTTTTTCTTAATACATTTGAAATTTCAGCTTTCACCACTAGCCAATGGCATCTGTATACGCCATACAGCCGAAATCATATATTACAAATAAATCCTATTTTAAAAATAAACAAATAAAAGATTTATTTAAAATGAACATAGGATTGTAATTCAAACGCACGACAAAACTTCCTTTCAAGAGTTTAAGGAAGAACAGCATATGACTATGTTCCAGTTCTGGGCCGCAAGGGCATCACAGATATTGGCCTGAATCCGACTTGCTAAAAAGTCAGTCTCAAAAGCTGATGCCGCACGCTTGGGGAAACATGTTGTCAATGGCTGTATTAATAAACATTAATAGCTAACAGGAAACAGGACAATTTGGAGTCCTGCTTGCTACAGCAGTTCACTCAACAGCATGAGAAGAGTTTTTATTCTGAGGCTTGCTAGTACATGAGCAGTATTTATCATAGTAAAGAACAAACATATTACAGCCTGCTGGTTTGTGTATAGGAGATGGAGAATGACAGTGCATGCTAACAGCTCTCAAAATTTTATCAATTATATGATCACTATTATACAGGTTTCTGTAAAATAATTGATGCTAATTTATACTAATGTCAATATACTAAATCTATGTAATGAATCCATGAAACCAAACAGTAGAAGGAAATGTCAACATTTACACATTAAATGCATTAATTAGTAAGTGCCAGGAACAATGGAAAACTGTGCTAGTAATGAATCAACAAAAAATAAGTCCCTCTATGGAACAAGTGTCTATGTATTCACAAACTGTAGAAACCTAGCTCCAGGCAAGGATGAGGAGTTCCAGACTTCTCACGATTATCTTAGCGAGGAGCACAAATCACCCAACAAAACCTATTTCATTTTGTCAAACAATTTCACTTTGGAAAGTTTTTCCATTTAGTCCAAAGCTCTCCCTACATCCCTAATCAGTGCAGGAAGGCCACGTTCCCTGTGCTATTTGTGGTAACTGCACTGCTGTGGTAGCATTACATGCAGGTCTTTATCCCCAAGGGTTGCCAAGTGCTACAATGCAGCTTTAATTGCAGTAGGAAGCGATTATGCCAAGAGTCAACAGTTTTCCTAGGCTTTTATCCAACATGCTCTTCATTGTTCTGCAGGACTTCCAGCCTGGCACGCCAGGAGCGCCACGCGTGTGTTGCCCACTGAATGGCAATAGCGAACACCAACATGTGCTCATTGCCCAACTAGCTCCTATTTCCTTGGTAAATTTGCATTGTACAAAAGCACAAAAAAAAAAAAAAAAAAAAAGTCTTTTGTTTTGCATGGGTCATATTTAGCTCTAAAGCAAAGCACTACAATAGAACAAAACAGGAAAAAACACGTCCTAACTTTGTCCAAGATAAGTCTACAGAAGAGAGACTTTAACAACTACTAATGCCTTTTCTTGGGATCACATCTTAAAAAATATAAACTTCAATGAGTTGATTTATGACACAAAAAATAATTTCTAAACCTAAACATTTACTTCTGTGGACCTAATTTGGCACAGATAGATTAATTCTACCTCCTCTTACTCCCATGCTCACCAGCACCACACAGGATCTAGCATGAAATCCTTTGGACACACTTTGTGGACTTTTCAAGATGTGCCCATGTGATGGGCACTTTGCATTTTAATAGAGGCTTTCTTAAAGGGTAAATTCCTAGTATTATCTAATCACTTTCCATCACAAGCACAAATGGGACTCTCTCTTCTTTAGTGGCTTTGGAAGCATAATTCTCCTGTCCTCCAAACGCCAATACAGAGATAACCATCTCCATTAAGTCCCCAAAGCTCCAGGGCAGTACATCTGTTTTGTGTTTTGATACATTCCCCATTACACACCATTTTCAATATCAAAGAGCAAACTTTATCACACTGATATTTAGCTATACATGTTCATCCTCAAAGCACACAGACCAACTTGATCACCAGCCATCACTTGATCCCTAACTTGCTTTCATTAGTTTCAGAAGATGCTTCTTTTTGGCACAATGTCTGTCAGTAAAGAAAATCTCCCACAGCTTTCATTCAGTGATAGCAAAATCTCAACCTATTCGGGCTTACAGGAAGATGTGCAAAATAATCAATCTTCTTTATTGAAAAGGATATTTAATTGGATCTATTGATCCTATTAGATCTAGTAGGCAAGTAAAATGTGTTAGGTGGCTGTAGAGTGTTAATGACCTTGTATATTTTAGTTCTTGGAGCTTAAAAACAAGTTTTTCCAAGTTGCTTGGTAAATCTTACAGCAAACATTGGCATCCTTATCATCATGTTATTGTGTACAACTCAAGATCTCCTATGAAATTTGATCTTAGTTGGCACTAACTCTTCTTATAAGGTCCGTCAATCTTCTTTCAACTGAGGAAGAATTTTAATTAAGTGCTGATTCAAGGCACAGTCCAATTCTCAGGAACAAGAACTACATATTGCAGCCCATGCAGTTTTGCCTGGGTGAGAAATTGATATCTGGACTTCCTGAGACTATTAACTACCTCCTCCTCCAAAGCAGGCAGCCAAAAAAATGGTCTCCCAGCTCCAAGGCTTTCTGTTTTTTTTTTTGAAAAGCCATTTTCACCAAATCCCAGAAAGCCTGATGTTGGAAGGGCCCAACAGCCCCAGCACTGACCTTTATCACCACTGTAGAACCCCTGGAAGGGAAAAGTCAAAGCAGGAATTATGCCTTAATTAGCCCACCCTTGACTCCCAGGTGATCACACACACATTGAATGAACATTCATTTCTTTTGGTAAACAAAATGTTGAAATGGTTACATAGCACTACATACTGGGAGTTTAAAGGTCTCTTTGGATCTCCTTTCTCCCATTTCTCTATAGAGCTGAAACTAAGCACACAAATCTAGAAAGCAGTGACACTAAATAAAAATAGATGAATTTAAAAAAAAAAAACCACACTACAGGAATACTGGGAATGTTGACTCTAGAGATAATTACCAACATTTTTAAAATGTTTTATTTAAGAAATTCAGAAAAGATGCAGAGGGATTTTAATTGTACTAGCCAGATACCTCCATAACAGCTATACTCAAAGAAAATGCTTAGTCCTACTAAAGTGAGGAAGCCAAGTTTGAGATTCACTTTTTTGGAATRATATAATTCTCATCCAAAGACTGGAAATGATCTAAGAAGCAGGCTTAAAAACCACTGCCATTATACTTTCCCAGATCTGGAATAAACTTTAGCTTTTAGCTATCAGCCACACACTTGCTCCAGAAGCTGCCAGAAACTACTACTTCTCAGATAAATAAAGAAAACATTATTGGACTATCCAGAAATCAGTGTCAAAAGTTACTCTAGTACCATTAAAGATGACAATAGTCAAAAGTTTCCCCAAGGTAGGGGATGACTGAGCAGAAGTCTAAGGTACCAATCATGGTGTGTGATACCCTAACACTAGCAACACATTCTGGCAGCACTCGAAGTACATTGCACTGTATTTCTGCACAGAAAGACAAGCCTGTCTACTGAAGCAAAGAAAAGACACACTCCCTAGTTTTCTTTAAAAAAATCTTCTATGTGATATAAAGTTTTAAAGTCTCAATATTGTTTGTAGGGCTGAATATTTGCCAACATACACAGCTAYGAAACCCTGCCAGGCAAA